GAAATTTGGAAGACAGCTACTTCGCCAACTGACTTAAAGAAATCTCTCTTTGTTCCCATTCTAAAAAAAAAAAAAAAAAAAGATATCCTAACAGAACACGGAGCTTATGAAACAACATGAATATCACATGCAAGTAAAATCTTGCTGAGATTATTTAAAAAAAAATAACTGTAATAGCACGTTCATGCTGGATTCACACGTGGCCATGGCATGAGGGATATCATTGCTAATGTCAGATCTTGGCTGACAGCAGAGTACCATAAAAATGTTTACATATGTTTTATTGATTATGCAAAGGCATTTGATTGGATCATTACAAATTATGGGTAACACTGAGAAGAATGGAAATCCAGGAACACTTAATTGTGCTCATGGGGAAAGTATGTAACACTGAGAAGAATGGAAATCCCAGAACACTTAATTGTGCTCGTGGGGAAAGTATACCTAGACCAAGAAGCAGCTGTCCAAACAGAGCAAAGGAACACTCTGTCATTTCCAATCAAGAATGATGTGCATCAGGGTTGTATCCTTTACCACTTGTGCTGCTGCTTCCACCGGGCTTCAACCAATGACCTGGAGGGTTCCACAGAGGTCCCAGTCACCACCACACTGCCGCTGTCCTGAGCCAGAACCAGTGAGAGTTGTCCCATGCCATGCTATTTGTAAGCCTGCTCATAGTAATGTTGCCTGTTGGTCACATTTGAACATTTTTGTTTTTATGATTCTGAAATTTATGAATATTTTATGAATATGGAAGTTGAATTGATGCCTTTGAATTGTAGTATTCCCAGAGTATTGATTGTACCACAGATTGCCAAAAGAACAAACATCTATTTTGGAGAGGCACATACAGTGCTCTTCAGAGGCAAGGATAGTAGATAGTAAAACTTTGTCTCACATACCTTGGGCATATTGCCAGGATGGGCCAATGCCCGGAAAAGAACATTATGCTTATAAAGGTGGAGGGACAGAGAAGAGGAACTCTGATCCTGCTGCCACATTCTTCTTCATATGGTCCAGTTTCTTGAATGGTTTGCTCAGCATATGGATTGGATAGTTACAAAGAAAGGATACAACCCCTAGGCACATCTTTCCAGTTTTAAACCCCATGCCGTTTTTGTTATTCTTTTGTTAATTTTGTTATTCTTCTTGGTCTTGTATACATTTCACATGTGTGTAATTAAGTGTTTTGGGATTCCCATTCTTCTCAGTGTTACCCATAACTTTTTATGATCCCTATCGTCAAGGACTGCAGCCTTCAGTATGGACTGAGGCTCAATGTCAAGAAGACAAAGATTCTCACCACTGGACCAATTGGCAGCATCAGGATGGGTGGCGAAGAGATTGAGATTGTTCACAGCTTCAGTTTGCTCAGCTCTACGATCAACACTCTTGGCACCAGCAGCCAGGAAATAAAAAAATGTATTGCGATGGGAAAGTCTGCTGTTAGGGACCTCAGAGTACTCAAGAGCAACGGTGTGTCTCTGGAGACTAAGATGCATCTGATACAGGCCATGGTCTTTGCAATCACATGTTATGCATCAGAGAGTTGGACAATGACTAGGGAGGATAGAAGGAGAATTGATGCCTTTGAGCTGTGGTGCTGGAGAAGAGTCTTGAGGGTAGTACCATGGACTGCCAAGAAAACAAACAGATTCATCCTGGAGAGGGTTAAACCAGGCTACTCCTTGGAGGCAGGTATTCTGGGGCTTTGTCTGACATACTTTGGACATGTTGTAAGGAGCGACAGGTCCTTGGAGAGGGACATCATGCTTGGGAGGGTAGAGGGACAGCACAGGAGGGGAAGACCCTCTATGAGGTGGATTGATTCAGTGACTGGGGTAATCGGGATGGGTGTGTCAGAGGCAGTGCAATTGGCACAGGATAGAGCAGGGTTTAGGGCTGTTATACAAAGGGTTGCTATGAGTCACAAGTGACTTGACGGCACATAGCAACAATAACATAGTCAAATACCTTTGCATAATCAGTAAAACACAAGTAAACATCTTTCTGGTATTCTCTGCTTTGCATGATGTCCCTTCCCAAGGACTGTCCCTCCTTGCAGCATGCCCAAAGTATGTCAGACGGAGCTTCAGAATCCTTGCCTCCAAGGAGCAGCCTGGTTTCACCCTATCCAGGACAAACCTTTTGTTCTCCTAACAGTCCGTGGTGTATTCCATACTCTTCTCCAGCACTACAAGTCAACAGCATCAATTCTTCTTTTATCATCCCTAGCTCTCTGAGGCACAGAAGAGAATTGCCAAGACCTGGATCAGGCACACCTTAGTCTCCAGACTGATATCATTGCTCTTCAGTACTCTTGAGAGGTCCCTGATAGCAGACTTGGAGACTGCAATTAGTCTCTTGATTTCCTGGCTGCTGGTATCAAGAGTGTTAATTGTGGAGCCAAGCAAACTGAAGCTGTTAACAATCTCAATCTCAGTTTGGTTTACTGAAAGAAATATTTTAAAAGAAATTTTAGGGAGCTTTGGTGGTTAGTGATAGAGTTGCACTGCTAATCTAAAAGACACATGGTTCACCTGCACTAGCTGCTCTGTGGTAGAAAGATGGACAGTCTTCTCCTGTGTGATTTACTGCCTCTGAAAACCTGCTGGAGGGTCAACTATGAGTCAGTTCCAACTTGACAGTACATAACAACTACAGTTGGTGTATTATTTGTATTTTCTAATACACAATATAAGTGAAGAGATGTTTTTAGTGGCCTGCTAGTAGTATTGCCATACCTGAATATTTATTTGCCATATTATATGTAAAATATAGTCTCATAAAGTCACAGCTCATGTTTGCCTCAGAAAAGCAACAGATTAGAAGTGTAGGCATTGTCTTCAAAGAAACATTATCACCTTGAACAGGAAATTGGGATCCTTTTTGGTCATCCCACTAGATTGAACCTATTTGTGGAGTTTTTAGGGAGACAGATTTCACCTCTGTTAAAGGAAACATCCTAACAGTCCTATCGGGAGGCATTGCAGTAGTAGATGTTGAAAATTTCCAATACGGGCTGGGTGACAAGATCTCAGGTGTGTGTTGACAGAGAGGCGAGAAAAAGAAACTAGACAGCTAATGTGGAATGATGAAAGAGGGCTGTGGGTGATAGAGAACAAGAAAGGGAGAAGGGAGCATCCAGTGTGCCTTTCCAGTCCATTAGAGCCCTTCATAGTTCACATTTTCTCTGCCAGGGACATTTAAGAAAATGTTGTAAGAGGTCATTCTGCAGAAATTGAAGAATTTTTGGCATGGTCACAGGGTTTGAACAATTGTGTTTCTTTGATAGATCTCTGGCTAGGGACATTAAGTAATACTAAATCATGAGTTTCTAGAATGAGGACTTTAGAAAGGCGTAGCAGCTTCTGATGGTTGAATTAATTTTCTTTCTAGTGGCCTTCAAAATTGTCCTAGTGATCTTACATTTAACATACTCCTCAGGAACAGTAGGAGTTGTTGTTATATGCCGTCAAGTCTCCTGTGACTCAGAGCGACCCTATTTACAGTAGCTCTTAAGCCTGCCCTGTCCTGAGACAGTCTCACTGACTCTGACACACCTACCCCCTTGCCCCAGTCACTGTGTCAGTCCATCTCATCCGGGGTCTCCCTCTCTTGCATTATCCCTCCACCTTTCCGAGCATGATGTCCTTTTCCAAAGACCAGTCTTTCCTGGCCATGTGCCCAAATTACGTGAGACAGAACTTCAAAATCCTAGTCTCCAAGGAGACACTTGGCTTCACGCTCTCCTAGACAGACCTATTTGTTTTCTTAGTGGTCCTTGGTATGTTCAAGACTTTTCTCCAGGCTATTCACATGGTCTTAATACATATATTTTTTTGAGCTTCCATTTCTGTATTAAATAATGATATTATGTAAACCCCTCAACCCTGGAATTTGGTATCGAAAGAAAGATGACATTGACGTGTCCTGCTTTTCATGCATTGAGGGATATGGTGAAGGGCAAGTGTATGAATTTTGAATGTTCTACCTGGATTTGTGTCCTTCATCTCCTCTTCACTACTCTTATCACCTTGGACAAAGTCCCTAACTTCTCTAGACTTTAACTTCTTTTTAAAAAAGATCACATCTCTCATAGGGTCAGTGTAGGTTTAAGTGAACTAATAGTATAAAGTGTAGCACATGGAAGGAACTCAGTGTAAACTCTTTTTATACTAACAGTAAAGGTTTATTATTATTGTTGTTAGGTACCATTGCATTGAATGTGTGACTCACAGTGGTCCTGTGAACAACAGATCTGAACCCTGTCCTGTCCCGTGCCATCCTCACAATCTCTGACCACACTCAAGCCCATTGCTGCAATTACTGTGTCAGTCTACTTGATTGTCTTCCTCCTTTTCAGCATCTCTCCACCTTTCCAAGGATGTTGTCCTTCTCCAAGGAATAGCCTTTCCTAGCACAAAGTATGTGAGAAAAAGCTTCATCGTCTTTGCCTCCCGGGAGCAATCTGGCTGCACCTTTCTCTAAGACATACCTCTTTGTTCTTTTGGCAGTCGATGGTATGGTGTTCAGCACTCTTCTCTAAAACCACAGCTGAAAAGCCTCATTTTTTTTCCCTGTTATACATAATGTCCCTGAAATGGGAATTTCAAGAAAGAACAACTTTAAACCTTAACAGAAATAAGCGAAGAGGAGAACTGGGAAGGATGAGGTATCCAGAAGGCCAAGTTTTCTAGATTAGAGGAACAGAGTATCTACAACATGAGACTTCGTATGGAACACCATATAGTGAGAATGATTCCAGGTCCCTTCTTGATGACTGTGGATAACACAGAGGTTTATAAAACTGTTATGGAAATATAATTGTGTGCACTTATCAATGATTTGTAAATGAACGTATGTGAGAATTTCTTCAAGTGTGGAAGAGAATTTTGAGGTCGTCTATTCCTGGGTAACATAAGCTAAACAACCTTGTTTCTCTGTAGAATTTTCCCTTCGGGTCTCATGTTGTTTTCTTCTTTGGTAGACCAGTTTCATTATGGATGGAGGGGATGATGGCAACCTTATTATGAAAAAGAAGTTTGTGTCAGAGGCAGAACTAGATGAACGACGCAAAAGAAGACAAGAAGAGTGGGAAAAAGTTCGAAAGCCTGAGGATCCAGAAGGTATATCGCCTATCAGTTTGGCATGTAATATTCTGATCATGAATTTTAACCATAACTCTACAAAGTGATTATTCATATTCCCATTTTAGAGATAAGGAACCAAGATTCAGAGGGTAAAATAACCTGTATTAGACCTCCATAGGTGGAAGCAGAATTCCCAGCATATTCACATCCTTTGTATTCTGTCACATTGACTCCCAGCAAGTCCTACAAATATTTAGGTTATATGACTTGTCAGTGACATACATTGTCTGAACAACTGAGGACTCTGGTCTTAAAGAGGATTTTGACTGATCCTGCAGCCAGTTCACTGCTCAGGTATTGGACCCTATTGACCCTCACAGTTGATTTTGAGGACTGCTGGCCTCTCTCTGAGATCCAAAGGGAAGCTGTGGACTTGGTACTATTTTTGTGTTGTCTGCTCTCAGATCATGCAAGGAAGGCTTGACTTCTATCTCTAGAGCTCTTTTTGATCCACCAGAATATGAAAATGCTAAGTGATGGATTGCCCACTCTCGCCCACATCTCTCCCTCTTCTCTCCTTTCTTCCAGAATGTCCAGAGGAAGTTTATGACCCTCGATCTCTCTATGAAAGGCTGCAGGAACAGAAAGACAGGAAGCAGCAGGAGTATGAGGAGCAGTTCAAGTTCAGTAAGTAGGAGAAAAGAAAGTCGCAGGGCCTCTGAAGAACCTTTTCGGTGCCCTCTTGCCTCCTGCAGCCCCCCCTTTTTTTAAAAAAAAACTAGCATTGGAGTTGTCTTGATTGTCTAGTCTCCAGATGCTCATTTGCCAGAAAAGAGACAGCCTTCTGTCTTATAGACCATATTGAAATTTTTGCTTAAAGCTCAAGATACCCATTTTAACTCTATGCTAATAAGTAGTAATGTAGAGAAATGCCTTGATTTGATGCCATATTAGATATCCGGAAACCATGAGGTTTGCCAGTTCTTTCTTTTAATCCCCCGAAGGATCTGCTGTTTATTAAACACAGGAAAAGGAAAAATCTTTTCTGATTGTATTTTCCCTTTAGTCTACTAAGTATTCCTTGCTTAATTATCTCAGAAAACATGGTAAGAGGCTTAAATGAAGATGAGACCAACTTCCTTGATGAAGTTTCTCGGCAGCAGGAGCTGATAGAAAAGCAACGGAGAGAAGAAGAGCTAAAAGAACTGAAGGAATACAGAATATCCTTTGTACGTGGGGAGAGATCTGAGGAGTGTCAATTTTCTCCCCGTTGGTGGATTTTCATTTACTCCTAGATAGAGTGAAGGTGTTCTTTCCATGATCTCTAAGTTCCCTCTCAGCAGGATGTTCCTGTGACTCACTAATAGGAGAAGGTTATATTGTGTACAACAGACTGTTACAGTCATAAGCCAGAGCCTTTGAATTAACTAAAGGCATGACTCCTAATAGTGTCAGTGTTCTGCCTTGTGTCATTAAGCTCTGAGACAGATGCATAAAGAAATTAACCTCCTCCGGGAAACAAATTGTCTTCTGAGTTTTAAAGAGGAAATGTATTTTTGTTTGTTTGGTTGGTTTTCTTACTAATTTTAATGAAAATTTACAGAGACTTTGGATCTCCATTCATAAGAGGAGGTGTTTAACAACTTTTCTGTGCCCTTTGGCATTCTTCACAGATCAAGCTTCTTCTGTCCCCATAGAAGGTACAGAAGAAGAAAAAAAATGTGTAAGAGGCATTCCAAAGGTAACTTAGCTGAACCAGAGTTCTTACTTCTTTGTGAGACCACTCCCCCCATCACTCTGCTCTCCCCAAAGATACTTCTGATTTTTACAATCTCAGAGACTGACACAGCTGTACTGCTACACTCCCAGATGCTGCAGACAGAAAGCTGCACGTGCTGAGTGGTTGTTGATTTTAGATGCCGTCGAGTTGAGCACGACTCATAGCAACCCTTTGAAAAACAGACCTGAAGCCTGTCCTAGCCTGTGCCATCCTTGTCATCTCTGGCACACTTGAGCCCACTGTTACAGTCTCGTTCAGTCCATCTCGTCGAGTGAGGGTCTTCTTCTCTTTCAGGTTGACCCTCCACCTTTCCATGTATGATGTCCCTTTCCAAGGAATAGCCCCTTCTAACAACATGGCCAAAGTGTGTGAGATGAAGTTTCAACATCCATGCCCCCAAGGAACACTCAGGCTATACTTTTTCGAAGACTTACCTGTTTTTCTCTTAGTAGTTCATGGGATATCCAGTACTGTTCTCCAACACTACAACTCAAAAGGCTTAAGCTCTTCTGTGGTCTTCCTTACTCATTGTCCACTTTCAGATGCATACAAAGCAAATGAAAATACTGTTAATCTTTAACTTGACATTTTGATCTTGAGCACTTTGGAGAGTCCTTGACAGTAGATTTTCCCAGTGTACATAACTTTTGTTTCTTGACTGCTTCTGCCATGTGTATTGTTAGGGGTTCTAAGTAAAATGAAATTGTAGAAAACTTCAGTCTTTTCTCCCATCTATCTTGATGTTGCCTATTGGTCCAGGGGTGAGAATTTTTGTCTTTTTGATGTTGCGATCTAATCCATATTGACGGGAGAAGAGTATTTGATCTTTTGCAGTGGAAAGACAAAGCAAAGTATTATAACAAAATATACATAAAGAACTGGAGTTAGAAAACGGAAAGGAAAGAACTCCCAGCATTTCTCAAGCTGAAAGAACTGAAGGACAAATTAAGGCCTCAAGTTACAATTCAGAACGATTCGATGAGCAAAAATTTGAATTATGTAAGAAAAATCAAAAGAAGAGGGAAGGAAGGTAACTGTGGTAATTGTAGAGCTATATAAATAAAAATAAGATGAAGAAGGAAGGAATACACGGAGTCTCTGTACCAAAAAGAATTGATTGACACTGAACCATTTCAGTAGTAATCAAGGGAGAAATTTAAGCTGCACTTAAAGCTTTGGCAAAAAATGAGGCCTTAGGAGTTAGTAAATTACCAGTTGACATGCTTCAACAAACAGATGTGACCTGGGTGTGCTCGCTAGTCTATAGCTACCTGGCCAACTGATTGCGAGACCTCCATATTTGTTCCCATTTCAGAAAAAAGATGACCCAGTAGAATGCAATAATTATTAAACCTTATCATTAATAGCACATGGAAGTAAAATCTTGCTAGAGATTATTTTTAAAAGGCTAGAAATTCAAACGAATTATAGAAGTGGCTGTGGCACGATGGATATCATAATGGCAAAGGAATCTTAGCTAAAAACAGGGAATACTAGAAAGATACTTTCTTGTATTTTATTGACTATGCAAAGCCGTTTGTGTAGATCCTAACAAATAATAGATGACATTGAGAAAAATAGGAATCCTAGAACACTTAATTGTGCTCATGTGAAACTTAGACCAAGAAACTGTTGACCCAACAGAACAAGGGAACTTTCCGTGGTTTAAAATCAGAAAAGTGTGCGTCTGGGTTGTATGCTTTCTCCATACCTATTCAAGCTGTATGCTGAGCAAATAATTTAATTATCTAGACTCTGTGAAGAAGAATGTAGCATCAGGATTGGAGGAAGACTCATTAACAACCTGTTATGCAGATGATACAACCTTGCCTTCTGTAAGTGAGGAAGACTTGAAGCACTTACTGAAGAAGATCAAAGACTACAGTCTTTAATATGGAATGATTCTTTTCCACCCTGTTTTCCTGCTAGGAGGAATCTTATTTGGTTTCTTCCAGTTGTCACCAGAAGGTTAGTGGTTCAAACTCACCAACCACTCTACAGGAGAGAGCTATGACAGTTTTCTTCTGTAAGAATTTACAGCCTGAGAAACCCCGTGAGATGTGCTGCTGTGAGTTATAACCACCTGATGGTTGCAGGGTTGATGTTTTTGGTGTTTGTATACATTGACTGGTTTGTCGACGATGATTGAGCAGCCTTTGCCTCTAAGGATGATGTTTTGACGTTTGCTGGTTAGTATTTCTTGTGGAAAGTGTCAGTCCTGTTTTATAACAGTGGCTTATGTAATATTTGTCTTTTTGTGACTGAGATAGTTTACTCAGCATAATATTCTCCAGGGTCACCCATTTTGTATAATAATTCATGAGGTCTTTGTTTTTCAGTGCTGCATAATATTACATTGTGTTAATGTACCACATCTTCTCTATCCATTTGTTTATCGATGGGCACTTGGATTGTTTCCAGTTCTTTGCTGTTGTGAACAACGCAGCAGTAAACATGGGTGTGCATATATCTGCTTGGGTGGCAGTTTATATTCCCAGTAGTAGAATTGCTGGGTCAAATGGTATTTCATTTTCTAACTTTTTGAAAAATCGCCATACTGCGTTCCAGGTTGGTTGCACCATTTTAACACTCCCACCAACAGTGAATAAGAGTTTCAGTTTCTCCACAACATTGCCAGTATTTGTTGTTTGCTAATCCTGAACACTTTAAGAGCCCGAGCATTGTTGAGATAGGAGTTGAAGGATTAGACTTTTGCTTATTGAAGCTCTAGAGTGGAGCTGGTTCTTGGCTTTATTTGATTGTTAAACTTTTGAACATGAATGAACTGTGGTTTTTGCCATGGAAAAAAACCAGAACTCTTTGTTTTATCTTAAGTTAAACCAACAATATTAGCAAAATGATACATGTTGCAAACTATGTGCTTTTTTTAAAAAAAGTTTCTTCTCATTGATTAAGTTTTGGAAAAAGGGAGTGTGTGTGTGTAAGGGTATAGTGGAAGAAATGGGTCCAAAGAGAGAAATTAAGTAGCTTTTGATGGAGATATATATATAGATATAGATATA